AATTTGGAAATAAAGTTATTATTATTTTTTAACTTTATATGTTTATTTATTTATTTATATCAATCAGAACTTGTTTTTTTAAACGTTATCTCGTTTTTATTTTATTTCAATCATAGCATCTTAGGATATGGTTAGTATTATCTTATCTGAATTTAAACCATCGAATATAGGCGATGTTAAAGAGAGAGGATTTTGATGGTTTTTGTTTCTTGTAATAAGAGAGGAAATTTGGTAGTTTTCAATTGATAATACTTTGTAACGAGAAGGACCATCAAGGGTTTGTAGGAATCAACATATACACCAACCATATCTAGTTGGAGTTGTAATTAAGGGGAAGTTTTTTATTATAGAAAGTTATATATTTAACTTATCTAGTTGGAATAAAACGATTGAGATGGACCCAATCAATGTCACGCTTTTGACTTTTTTATTTTTTCTACAAAACTTTTTTATTTTTTATTATTTTTATTTTCTCTAAATTATTTTTCTTAAATTCTTACTTGAAAAAAATGTAAAAGAAATATTTCAGAAATAAAATGACCAAAATACCTTAAACCTTTAAGGGTATTTTGGCCTTAACGAAAATATTTTTGAATATTTTTTTTAAGTGCGCCCGACTGAGATGATGGTACTTATCAAATTTTATATTCATGTGATTTGTAAAAGAAAATTTCAAAATAAAATATTGTGAGGCATTGGATTTAGATCAAATGGTCAGTGGGTCACTTGATCTAAATTGGATGGCTGGATGGAGGGGTACAAAAAATTTTCTGGTAAGGGAAAAGAGCAAAAAAATTGTATATAGAGAGAGAGAAAAAACCCATTTAAAGATAAACATTGCAACAGTTTAAAAGCATTTTGGTTAAAAATCTCTCACTATGATAAGAGTTTAAAAGCATAGACTTAGGGACAGGGTATATCCCTAACGCTCCACCTATTAAAAGATAAACATTACAATAGTTAATTTGGCATCGCAAGTAAAAACTATATAAAGAATAGAAAAGAAAGGACTCTTTTCCCAATTTCAAACATTCACAAGTTATAAATTATGACTTGCCAATTACCAGAGAGAGTTTGAAATTTCCGACATTGGTCTCTAAGTTAATTGCAGCTACTTAGCATACGAATCTATTTTTCTCAAAATATAAGAATTGGAAAGAAAACATTACACCAGATCTCCCCAATGCAGTCCAAATATCATTTGAGTATGCAATGGCAACAGATTATCTGCACCTGCCTAGGGTTACAACTGATATCACCAAGACAAATTGTAAAAGATTGGCCATTTCAAAGTTATGCGAAGTGGGTTTTGGGGTTCAAATCCGAAATGAAGTTATCTTTTTTTCTTCAATCTTATCATTTATTTTTAGGTTTTTTCCAATCAGAACCTCTTATCTTCTTTTTGTAACCCTTTTTTTTCAATCACAACCCCTTGTCTTTGGGAAAAGTTTATATAGAGCCAAGGCTCTAAACAATCAAATTAAAGCCTACCTAAAAAATTTCACTAGAAGAAGTTGTTTTGATGCTCAAATATCTTCAAATTGATCATCTCGACGTCAATAATTTGGATTTCAATAGCCCTTTATTTCTTTCATTTTTTTGCTCAGATCTGGCAAATAAAAAACACATTAGAGTCTAAATAAATCGTAAAAAATTAAAAGATATCGATAGAGCTAGCATCTCTTGACATTCTTTAAGTACAACAAAAGTAATCATCAATAGAAGAATCGCAAACCCGGTTCAGAGGATATAACTATGAATTACTATCCAACGGCTGTGGTCATGCATCTTCCCCATATAGTCTCATCACTAGTTTTGTAATTATCATCCGTGGTTTGGGACGATGTGTTTTTTCTTATTGCGCTCGTTATAACCATTTGCAAGGGTTGTTATTGTAGTCCCGTGGTTAGGGTGATGTATTTTTAAGTGATCATGGATCCACAAGATTTGTGACATTTTTTTAACAAAAAATTTTATATTCAATGGTCGAAATAGAATTTAGAGCCATCATCGGGCTTCGATGCATGAAATGTTACAAGGTTTTCAGGTGAAGCTTTATCCTTTTTTATAAGGCCTAGGGCTAATAGAAACCTCATCCGTTAATCATAAGGCCTAGGCCTAATAGAAACCTCATCCGTTAAGTGATAAATTTTTTAATAAATAAGTTAAAACAGCATATAATTACAAGAAACAACAACCCATATTTCCCCATAATGAAATAACATTAAAACCCCAGGCTCAAACATTTCAAAGTAAAATAATGCGGAAAAAGTTTATATAAGGTTTTTTTTGGGTTTATATAAAGTTTGACAATTTATATTTATAAAACTACGGTGCACCTCAAAAACCCATCGTAAAAGACTTTTTCACTTTGGAAAACCATCTAATTGATCATCTCGACGTCGAGAGTTATAGATATATGAAAAAAATTCAAGTCTAAAAAATAGTATATTTTTCAACATATTATCTAAACCGTCTGTTTTCAATATTTTCATGTGTTTGTAGATCTACTAGAGGGTGAAACACAGGATAGTGAGAGAGGGGAGAAGAGAGGGGTCAGTGGGGTAGAGAGAGTGTGTGTACAAGATTATGATTGAGAAGGAGAAGATAAAGTAGTTAGAAGGCCAAGGGAGAAAGGGGCCTGAAAATTTTGCAAATCAAGTCTTATTTTATTTCATGTTTAAAATCTTATATCTAATTCGGATTGCCGATTTGGGTGGGAATTGATTGGGAGCAAAATCGATTTTAGTATGGTATGGGTCTTGACATGTTACATCTAAAACTCCCCCGCTTATAATTTTTTTTAGCTTTCCTTTCTTAAGTCCGTTTTAATCCCTGCCTCATAAGCCTTGAATTTTATTTTATTTGTTTTTTATATTTTTTTTAATCACCAATTTAAACTGATCCAGCAATCCAATACGAATTTATGGGTGAAAAATCTGTCCCACTTATCCAAATTTCAAAACATTGATTTTACTTCTTCTTTTTTTGGGTAATTTAGTGGGGAAGATAGGCCCCTAGGGTATGGGGGTGCTACCACCATGACCTTAGCCCTTTTCTCCTTTTGGTGAATCAGTGGAGGGGGCCCCTACCGTTGGTAGGAATTGAGCCTACGACGTACACTGATTTTTCTTTAGATTACGATTTGTGTGGTTTTGGATAAGGAAAAAGTTTATATAAGGTTGCAACCTTAAAATGTAGAATAAAAAATACATCTAACAAATCCATCATAGGTGGTTGGTTGGATGTTGGAAAACTCTCTAATTAGTCATCTTGACATCAAGATGTATGAATATAAAAGAAAAAAAGATTTCCAATTCGTTTTGTAAAAAAAAAAAGAAAGTTCAGTCCTGAAATAGTGTATCTTGCAACACATTATCTGGACCGTCTATTCTCAATATTTTCATATGTTTTTAGATCTAATTAATTTGAACTATTTTTTAGACTTTTAAAAGTTTATAATTAGCGATATGAATAGATTCTTAAGCCATCCTAAAGATTTTTTATATCAAAATTACATGGGAAAAGTTTATATACGGTTGCATCCTTACGTGAACAGCTAAGGATGCGGCCTTGTAAACTATCCAATATTTTGAATGGTTCAGATTTCGCATTTCATTTCCAACAAGAAGCAACCGGTTACCCTTCCAGTTGTGCGTCTCTCTCTCTCTCTCCACCCTACGCCTCTTTCTCTCTCTCCAATCAAAACCATGGCGATTTTGCAGTGCATGATTCTCTCCTATGAGTCTAGAATTTTTATCGTTGATATACACTGAGAACAGAAAAGAGGAAACCTTTTCAAGTGAATGCTCCTTAGTGGTTTTTAATTCCTTTTCAAGTGAATGCTCCTTAGCGGTTTTTAAAGGCTGTTTTTAGTATTGTGAATGGTGGTTTTTTAGGCTTCCTTTCTCTCTGATTCCAGGCACCCTGTCCAAAGAAAACTGCCTTAACTTTTTTGCTTTCTTTGCAAAGCCCACGGCGGTTTCGCATGAGCCCCATTTTGTATAAAAATCAAAACTAAAAAAGCAAAACCCATCTTGTTGTGGTTTCTGGTTAGGCTCTGGGTTTCCAATACCTATTGGGAAAATCACGGCGGTTTTGGAGTATCAGTTCACGGGTTTTGGTTTATCATAAAAAAATACCAGTTGAGTCGAGAGTCCAGAATGGTTTCCATAAAGAATGACATAACTTTTCTCTAATTCGTGACCAGTGGGAGCTTCAAGGCATTCCTCCCTCCATGCCATTGGTAAGAACAAGCCAAATCCATCCACTAAAACCAACTCGCTTTTTCACGGTACCTTGAAGACCCACAACACAGACATGGTGCAATTATTAACGGTGACCACCACCTTGGTGCACCTCGAAAGATCAGAGAGCTCCTCTTCTTCACTGGCTTCTTCCTTCTCAAATTCATAGGCCTTGCCATTAGAGCCCCTCTCCAATCCTTCCTCAAGCATTGCAGAATGCATCGTGAAAACCACTAAAATTGGATGAAATTGCAGAGAAAATTAAACAACAATGGCAGAAGCACTCCGCACCTCAATTCCCCTTTTTTCTCACCTAATACTTTCTCTCTCTCTACACAATTTCTCGGTTACTTTCTAATCTAAAACAAAAATGTATGCAGATCCGAAAGAAAATGCATATCAAGCCTTTTCTCTCTCTACTAAAGCCCAACTGCTCCTCTTTCTCTCTCTAGTTAATGGGCAGTGGTCTTCATGCGCAATCACAGCCATGCCATTGAGATGATTGAACGGTGGAGATTGCTTCAACCTTACACAAATTGCATTTATGCGGGAAAAATCTAACGTATTAAAAGAGGAAAAACATAGAGGGATGAACCAACGGTTAAGAAATGTTAGAGAGAGAGAGAGAAGAGTGTGTTAGCTCAGTCAACCCCATCTAAACACGCCGAGTCCCACGTCTCCTAACCATCCTTATCTCAAATCCCACAACAAAATCAAATCCGCAAGCCCCTTTCTCGACTAAGTCCCATAACTTGTTGCATAAAATTCAGTCTCAACTCTTCCATTTTCAGGCTCTTACACTCCTGTGCCACAGAGATGGCTTCTCTCTCCTCTTGCCTCTGCAACTTCTCTCTCCTCTTCTTCTTGTGTTTCTCTCTCTCTCAAGCCTCCATGCAACATAAACTGGATTGGGCTATCCCTAACAGCAACGGTACTGATTATTTCAACTACTGGGCATCCCACAACCGCTTCCAAATCGACGATACAATCAGTAAGTACCCATAAACTGAGCCTGTAATTTCATTTCTTCTTTTTTCGAGGAATCTCTCTCCCTCTCTAGATATCTCTGGTGAGTCTTCTCTCGCTCTTCGACAATGTCAGGCAGGAATGGACGTTGAGATGTCATGCTATGAAAACCCAGCCTCTACCGTCTTGACCCAAGCCCATTTCCTCTCTCTCTCTCGTACACACCCACTATTTTCTGACCCACATCATGCTACCATATTTCTAAAAGATTAGAAGTGGCAATGAGAGGGGTGGCCAACCTGGCCCTGAAAAAATAGGGCCTGGGCCAAAATGTAGCCCTAGCTCATTATTGTTATTCTCAACACATTATCTATCAAGCCCAAGCCCAAGCCCAAATCCTAGCCCTTGTTCCACCTTCTAAGAAAGCCAATTATAATGTCATTCAACTATCTAATACTCATATCACTCAGTTCTCTCCTCCCAAAGAATTGCAATGCCATGGAACTAGCTAATGTCGTTGGCTCTTAGAAAAGATCCACATATCATGTAGTCTCTCTTAAGATTAAATTCACTCTTAAGTCATTAAATGCTTAATAGAGTGGTCAATAATATTTTATTGACTGCACTCAAACACCAAAAATAAATTTGTTAGAATTTTGTGAACTAAAGATGATTGTGATTTCTTGAAATGAAAGTAGAAGCTTAAAAATATTTTTTTAAAAAAATTTATAATATCATCCGACCGTTAAAAATGATTGTAACTTTCATGTAATAAAAATAAACAATAGATGATTGGGCTTCTTTGTAATAAAAGCAACCGATCATATGGTACACAATCACAAGTAATAAAGGCCATGAGGCATCTTATAATTATCTTTGAACTATATATCCCACTCTCTCTCTCAACAGATTTCAAGTACACCAGGGACTCTGTTATGGTGGTGAATTCAACGGACTACAAGCAATGCAACTACTCCAAGCCCATCATGTACTTCAACGATGGAGCGACAAACTTCAAGCTTGATAGATCAGGTGATTTTTACTTCATTAGTGGAACCAAAGGCCATTGTCAACGCGGTCAACGCATGATAGTCCGAGTCATGAGCCACCCTGTCACGCCAAGCCCCTCCGCCACACCGCCTGGCCCACCTGCCCCACCTGTTTTGCCAAGCCCTAGTCTGGCCTCAACCGTGGCTACAGCTTCTTCTTTTGCTTCCGTTGCCTTGGTAGTTTTCTCCTGTGGTTTTGTTTTTTTTTATTCGATGTGAATTGTGTTGTCTGTTCTTGAGCATCTTTTCTTTTTTGTTTGATGATATTTTTGTTTTAGGTGAGTTTTATTTCTTTCTTTTGGAGTATGTTTTGTGGTGTGTAATTTGGAGGAGTCTCTTTTTTTTTCTTTCTTTTTTTTTTCTTTTTTTTATTGTCCTTTTTTCTTTTACTGTAGTTTTTGTAATGTGTGTTGTAGTTTGTTTTGGAAAAGAAAATTGGTATTGAGACTTTGATGATGGAGTTCAAGGATTTGGTTTTGTTCTAATGGGAGTTCATAGGAAATAGAAAATCTCTCTCTCTCTCTCTCGTAAAGGGGCTAAGGTCGCGGTGGTAGCATCCCCACACCCTAATCGCTACGTTGTAGTTTTCATTCTCACTATTTTTTATATGTAGATAATATGTTGTAAAATGTACTATTTTTTATACTTAAAATCTTTTTATTTTTCATGGTCATACATCTCGATGTCTAAATGATCAATCAAACGGTTTTTCAACATTAAAACTACTTTTTTCCGATGGATTTTTGAGGTATGAAGTTCTACATTATAAAGTTGCATCCATATATAAACTTTTTCCAATATGGATTGGCTCACATCTTTCTTCTATACTAATGCCTCAAAGGGTAAAAGAAACATAAAAATGCAAATAAGCTAAGTCTCCAAAAGTTTTAGGTAGAAAGAGCTTATTGCATTGCTGCAAATTTTATGTTCTTTAAAGCGATCTTATTGCTAATTGAAAACTGTAGTGAAGGGAATAAATTTTCCTTTTGTTCCTCTGTTAGGTGCTCAATATCGAAATGTTTGATCGATACCGGCACATAAACACTTGTGTAATTAATGATCGATTTTTGTAAAAGACGTTAAAGAAAACAAAGTGAAAAACAACAGGGAACCAAATGCATGCCCCCAAACAAAGAAAAACAAAATGAAAAGCAAAACCCAGCTTCAAGAGGAAAACTCAGAAAAAAAAAAAAAATGAGGGAAAAAATCATAAAACTTGAGAAGGAAAAATCTAGAATGGAAACGTTTATTGTCGAATCAACTGCATGAATCCACAATGAATTTAGGATGTGAATCATAGTGCAAGTCTCCATAAATGCATTTCCGTCTTAGATTCATGAACTTCAACTTTAAAAATAGTGGCAGTATGAAATAAACACTAAAAAAAATTCAATAAATTAATTTCAAGTTCTTTTGGTTTTACATTTTACATAATCATAGTGGTCAAGATCATCGACCAATAAAAACTTGGATTCAAAATCTATAAGAGATTTTGAAAGGCAAATGCATTTGAATAGGCACGTTGGCTGACTACTGAAACGGTAGCCTTTCACTTCAAAGAGGCATTGCTCAAACCAAAAGAGCTTTGAACATTTGTTGCATCACATATCCCTCAAGGCTTCGCCGGTTGGAGAGAATTACTTCAAAATATATACATCATAAAATACTTGCTAGCCAACTTTTACTCTTGCATATCCCTCTCATAGTTTATGATCCTTGCACAATTCAAATCCAAGCTCGGTCATTCTAGTCGATCCCTCTAGCTCAAAACCATAGTCATCAGGATCAGACTAGTCATCAGGATCAGACTAGATTAGATAGACCATCGAACCAATGAGATGTCTAATTATACTATATTTTAAAATATAGAACATAAAATAATAATTTAAAATATAAAATGTATTAGAAAAAAATTTCTCAACTTTGTTTAGCCCTAAAACTAGTCAAAATTGGATAGTCTGATCAAAATCAAAACTGGTCAAGCATTGTCCTTACTCGGTTCTTTACCAAACTAAATTTTTACTTTAAATTGGACCTGCCAAATATCAGTTGGCAGTTTCACCAGTGGTCGAGTCTAATCTTGATACGCTCAAATAAGAGCATTTATGAATATAGTTAGTAAGTCGAGAAATACAATATATTGGTGAACCAAAATATCAGTAATAAATCTCTTTTGTTTAAAAACTCAAGGGCAAAAAATTACGTTAAAATTATGGATTGCCAAAAATTAAATAAGTTAAAGAATCGTGAATATTTTGGATTTAACTAAAAAATTAGAGTGAAAAAACCAGACATATAAAAATGACATGAAATAAAACTATGAGTTCACAATAATGTTATGTCTTTGTCTGGCATCATTTAGGGCAATACTTGGCAATTTTTTGTCTAAATTTATACTAAATACAACAAGAGTGTTTATTAAGTTGTCAATGCACAAATTATATGATGGATGGAAGCATACAATAAAACATTACCAACAATACTAAATATAATAATTAGATTCACAAATAACAAAAAAATGTAATAGAATTGTTGTTGGAAAGAAAATAAAAAAGAGGCCGTAAGTATAAGATGGCAGTTAATAGAACCATAAAAACAAAAAAAAAATGTGAAACACTGGTCCATCGAAATTGTTGTGTTGCATACGACAATAGAATTACAAAAATTCAAAAAGGTGAGCCTAATCAAACTTTTGTATGCAGAAAGAAAGAAACAAAATACTTACTTGTACCAGACAATTCTTCAATTATAACTAAATCTCTTTCTTGCTTTATAACGATGCTCACGGTTTAGAGAACAAGATTTTTCATTGAGTTAATCTTCCTGTAACTCTAGAGATTATTTTTTTCTAGGAACTCTTTCCATGTATTTTTTAATAAAAAAGTTTAAGAAAAATTTGTGGGTGAAATTTTTTTATGAAACTTCTTGTTAAATCAAGATTCTTAATCTAATCTCACTTTTAATGTTTTTATCGTAAAACCAATATTCAAAGATATCAAATAAATAAAGAGAATGGAAGTTTCAATAAAAGTTACAATAAAATTATGGGGAAGAAGTTTTTTCAAAAAAGTCTTTTGAAAACAAATAAATTACATATTTATATCCTTTGTATTAAAAAATAATTTTTTGAATATCTTTTGAAAAATATAAAATTCTTGATAGATTTCAAAAAATTGAAAAAAATTGAAAAATCATATTTTAATTAAACACTTGCTAATTATATATTCACGACCACACATTGATTGGATGTGATTATATGCCTATAAGTGTGTAGTATTGTGCTGTAGCACTAGGTCGTCATTGGCCCAAGAGACAGGCCTACTTAAAGCCTCAGACACATTGTTCTTACACTAGTTAGTCGTTGTTTTGCCTTCGCGCCCACGAGTAGGGCTGGCAATGGGCCAAGTGGTCTGGCTTTGAAAAGCGGGCCCAGCCCAAGTCCATTGCCACCCATAAGAGCAAGTATTATATGGATATTCCAATGGAAGGCCCGTGAAATAAAATGCGATCATAAACTTCTCCAAGAAGGAAATGAAAAATGATTTATCCGAACTAACCATTTTATAATGGGTGGGGTTTGTATAGAGCCATTTAAACAATCAAAGTAAAGTGCATCTTTGTCGAGAAATGTAGTTTCAATATTAGAAATCTTTGTAGTAATCTTAAAATATATTTTTATTTTTAATTATAAAATTTAAAACTTCAAAAATAGTGTAGATCGAACAGATATTTGAAAACTTGAAAATCTTGAAAATTGTCACTTCAAAAATATGTTACAAGATGTATTATTTCCAAAACTTGAAATCCATTTTTTTTTCTCATGTCCATGTATCTTGATGTCAAAATCCTCAATTTAAAAATATTTGAACATCAAAACAATTTTTTCTAGTGAAAATTTTGAGGTTGGCTCTAATTTGATCGTTTAGAACCTCGGCTCTATATAATTTTTTTCCTTTTCAAGCACGGATCATTTTTCTAGAAAGAGTACGTGTACAGTTTGATCCAACGTGAGCACTATATAAATGCTCGAAATACCAATACGTTATCCAATGTAAACAAGGCATAGATCATTGAAACGAAATACCACTACTGCACCAACAGAGAGAAGCAAAGAAGAATACACAATTTAAGAGAAAAGAAAACGGAAACGCTTCGCGCGCACTTGGGTTTTACTGGGGTTTTGCACGAAGGTATAGAGAGAAAGGAGAGAGTCACCATTGATGCAGAGGAAAAGCTCTGAGTTTCTGTTTAAAAACCCTAAATGAAGCGTTTCTTCCAGCCTATACAGAAGGATGGCTCGTCCAAGAAGCCTTCTCTCTCTTCGCCGGAAAAGATGTATTCCTGCAGTCAATCGCCAGAGAAAACAAACTCCGGTAACTCCATACCGGAAAACGCAGAGCCCCTCAAATTTGTGACATGGAATGCGAATAGTTTTCTACTTCGCGTTAAGAACAACTGGCCTGAGTTCACAGAGTTTGTTAGGCGCATTGATCCTGATATAATTGCCATTCAGGTAAAGTAAACCCCAATTTTCTCCGTTTCTTCACTTCCATAATGTGATTGTTTTTACTTGTACTTTGATCTTTCAGGTGCTTTAAATCCTTGTTTTGCATCTTTTTCACTTCTGTTCTGTCTCTCTTTACTTCTATTTTGATTTCTCTGGTGCTTTAAACCCTAATTTGTCGCATTATTTCACTTGTGTTGAGCGATTCTTTTTTCTCCTCATTCAATGTATCAGGTGCTCTCAAACCTGAATCTACTTTTTTTTGTTTTGATTTTTTTTAAGCGAGTGCCCCTGATTTTTCTCCATTTATTGCCCACGTTTTAAAAATATGTTTCTGCTTTAATGGTGATCCCTCTGACCTTTGAATTTTGGCTTGTTTCTGGCTCGGACAAACATGAAAGCGTTGAATTTTATTATTTACACCGAAAGTTATGAAATGGAACTTTATTGTGTTTTTTTTTTTTTCTTTGTATGCATGTCAATTTTGCTTATTTCTTCATTCTTTTTAATGTTAAGTGCGGTCAGCCATATTAGTTAGTTTGTGTAACACTAACTTAGAAACTTTGTTTTTCCTACAATTGTGTAAATTCCTTTTGATAATAATGGTTTCTTACATCCATGGTTCCAGGTAAGCATGTACTCACTTTCATTAAAACGTTTTTAGTTTTATGTTGTCTGGAATGATTTTATATTTAGATTAGTGTCTGGTAGTTTCAAATTGTTATATATTTTATTTCTTGAGATAGCGGAATGGATAGTGTGCCACTAGAAATGAAGCTTATTTAAATGAAAGCTGGGTTATACAAATAAAAAAATGGTGTATCATACAAATAAAAAATGAAATGGTGAACTATGTGATTACAGGAGGTAAGAATGCCTGCAGCTGGGTCTAAAGGGGCACCCAAGAATCCGGGAGAGCTGAAAGATGATACAAGTTCTTCACGTGAAGAAAAACAGGTTTTTCTTTTCTTTTTTTTTTAAGTTAAAAAAAAAGGAACTTATGTTCATATATTCATTGGAACAAGTTCTCTATGTTAAACATTTAAATTTTAATCGTAGATACTAAGATGGCATGTTAGCATGAGAAAGCAATGAAAATTCTATCTGTGCGCGGAAAATGGTCTTGGTTGAACTGAAATACATGATAGATGTTTGTGCATTTGATATCTCTTGGGAACATTATTGGAGCAGCTAAATTTTGATAGTGAAACAAATCATACTGATTGCCAATAATTCAAAGAGAAATATAACCACACATCAAAAGTGCATATGAAAGATTTAATTGGGTGTCTTTGGTTTTGGAGAATCACATTAGTTGTGCATAGGAATTTATGGTAGAAAGGGAAGAATCAGGAACTTTTGACTTATTTTGAGAACAGGGGAAACACAGGAAAAAAATAAAGTAAATAATTTTGGGCGTGAATGGTGTTTGTATGACACTTTTGTAGTGTTGCAATATTTATAAAAGATTTCTTTTTTTTTTTAATGTAAAAAAGTAGAGAGACAAGCATATTAATTTGCACCCAGAAGTGCAGTCAAATGTACACACATGGAGAGAGAGAGAGGGAGAGAGAGAGAGAGAGGGGGGGGGGCGTCAAAGGTGGGAAGTGACCGAACACATGGAATGTTGGTTACGACCTATGCTGCATGGATACAATACTAGTGTCATGTGTCAAACATGAGTACAGGGTGTGAGATTCCTCGAAAAAGAGGATTTGGCGGCATGGCTATATTATGGAGAGAACCAAATCGAACAATGTTTTAATAATATCCTGTTTCATGATGAGAAGCAGTTAAAAATCAGACTTTAGTTGCCTGCATCCTTGTATATTTCACAGTTCCACAAATATATTTCAAAGTTCACATATGTCTATTTGGAAACAAAAAAGAAGATCAGTCCCCAGAATGATGCGATGAATGATAGTAAACAAAAAGAATTCAGAAGAATTGTTGTCAGCGTGGGTGTGGATACTTGTCCAACACAGGCAAAGCACTCAATCACAAGGATCCACATAACATAGGTTGCACCAAACTCTGGAGTGTGCTAGAGAGTCAACCAACTCATTGGCTGCTCTCCAAACATGTATACATGGCACAAATCTAAGTAGCATATATATCGAACTTCTTCCAAAACATCAACATAGGAAGTCACCTAAATCCCATCTGTTCACATTCAAGGAATCATCCTTGACTACCAAACAATCTATGGATGATTCAGATGCCACCTTAGGACTCATAATGATGCTTTAGCATCGATTCTCGTTATCCGCCTGGCTGGCGAGGCCTGAGAAAGCAATACAGACTGCACCTAGGTCATCCAGAGCAATCCCTTCATTTTTTTGTGGAATAGAAATATCCTATGACCTCACTGTGCCAAATGAGCTGATCGTCACCTTGCTGGGAATAAAAACTCCCCCTATGAGTTTCAAAAAGCCCACTGATCCTCCCTGGTCACAAATCACCCTGTTATCACTCCGTGAATAACGTTTTTGTACTGATTCATCACGTTCAAGATTGTGTGCTCATCTATAGATAATCCACCTGATTGCTAAGTTCTACTCCCTGCCTCATGCACTTTCTAAAGATTGGCGAATAATTTAAGGATTATTGTTCTCAGTGCATCAATGTGATATTAGATGTTATTAATATGCCTCCTTCCACTAATGAAAATTTTTAGAAGTTTCTCATCATGTGTGTCTTCTTCATATGCTTGATCCGACACAACAGTTTGGTGCATATTTGAGAAGGAGGTGACCTTGTATTAGATAAAAGGGGAATGTCAGTTTTGTTAATTGAGCTACCATTAAGAAGCTACATGTAGTTAGCTACATATTGGCAATGTTGTCAACTACATATTGGCAGTAGGAGAACTACTTTATTATGCTCATGTGTGTATTTGTCACTATATTAAGAACAAGGGACTTCGACCTAGAACAACACTGGTTAGGAGGGGTGATTTGGTTAAAGTAGAAGGGGCTCTAAAAGAGCAAGGGGAAGGCCCCAAAGTACATGGATGGAAGCAGTGAGAAAAGATATAGTGACTTATAGTTTGGCTGAGGATATGGCCCTGAACAGGGTGGAATGGCGGAACATGTTTCCTTTAGCCAACCCCAAATAGTTGGAATAAGGTTCTGATGATGATGATGATGATGATGCTTAAGAACAAGGGACTAATCCCTTACAGTTAACTGCGGCCTAGAGCCATAAATACCCCAGACAAACAATAAGATATAAATACACAATTAAAACAAAGAAATACAAGAAATTCATATGCATAAACAAGTCCATCATGTAGTTTCTACACCTTCCCTCGAACTGATATGATAGTGGTAATCATCAATAATTTTCTCATAAGATGATCATGTTGTGTCTGAGTATTACCATGGTTAAACACGTTGGCAATCCGAAAAGTGAATGGTTAATAATGAGGAAAAAGGAATACTACTAGCTGGTCTCTTTAGAATGAAATGACATTCAAAACCCGATGTACTTTATTTGATCATGCCGCACAATTCGAGGAAATTCTGATAGCAATGATGTGATCCCCAATAGAAAATGGCTTTGTTTCATATAAGTCCTACTCAAGTAAAGACTCTTTGCCTAATGTTATGCACTCTCCATTTTCTTTAGTAATTTCATCTCTTCCTTGTTCATGTTTTTGTTTTTGTGTGTTCCATCGTTTTTTCTTATCGTTTTTTCTTTCAAGTTTTTGTGATATCCTGGCTTATTCAAATGAATTGCACTATTCAGTTGTTTTCTGAACTTAATTTTTAGATCTCATTTACTTCTATTAGTTTTGAAATATGTTTGGGTGCCTTTATTTGTCTTTCTATATTCAAGAAAGAATCTCATGTAAGATTGATTCTCACCATGTGTAGTGGTTGCTGGAATTAATGTAGGTGTTGCTTCGTGCTATCTCCAGTCCTCCTTTTGGAAATTTTCGTGTGTGGTGGTCTCTTGCTGATACCAAGTATGGTGGAACTGCTTTATTTATAAAAAAGCAATTTCAACCAAACAAAGTGTCATTTTCTCTTGAACGTTCAGGTAAATAAGGCTATTGATAAGAATAATCAAATAGGTATTTGATTTATGCATGTTTCTTCAAAAAAAAGCTTTGATTTATTCATGTGTGAGTATGTGAAAGTGAGATAGAGGGAGACATGGAGGGGGAGGAGGGGCACATATCATTACCATATCTGCAGTGATTGGTTGGTTTCGATGTGCAGCGCTATTTGCCTATGAGCCTTAAAAACCATTATTTTTTAAAAATCCATCATTATTTGATTACCATTTACTTATTTTGGACAAGAATCGCCCTATCTAAGATTGCTTTGTTGCTGAATGCATAAAACCCAAGAAATTGGGAGAAGTGATCAAAATCACCTGCTCAACCTGTATATATATATATATATATATATATATATATATATATATAAAGTT